TTATAAGATAGAAATAGAAAATGTATTCAACCAAAGGTGGCTTCTCACGATCACTAACAATGACAAAAATAAATCACACTGGAAATAAAAAAAAAACATGTTGCTTGTTTGACACATGTTTTAGATCAGACCTAATTTCAAATATTTAATAATAAAAGTCTGAGACTGAGAAGTTTAGTTGGGAACCAATATTATAACATTCCTCCGAATACTCACTTTCTGTTGCTTACTCATTAAAGTGATAGTCTGCAACTCTAAATGAATTACAAATTTTAGGAAATGTGCTAAATTGACCTCCTGGCCTTAAATGTTGATATAAAATAAGTCATTTTATTAATTCTAATATTACGGGCAAGTCCCGCCTTCCCTGCTCTTAGCTATAGTTCAGAATCCACGGTGCCGTCGAGGTTAACCAATCGAGTCCTGCCAAGGGCTGTCAATCATCGGCGCTGATGCTCGCAGCTGCTCATGCTCAGTTGTTTGTTTTCGCGGAGCCTCTATTAGGCTCTGGAACTACATGAAAACTAAACAAAGAATTCTGAACATCCGCGCTGAGGTACTTATGTATATACTGAACCTATATCCATAATCAGATCCTCTGCAGATGAGTCCTATAATGTGCAATTCATGATAATAGCACTTCCTGGTTTGCTGCGATCACATTTTTTGTGTGCATAAAAACATTATTTTTTTCATTAAAACGTTCACAAATAATTCTGAAAACCTCCGTGCATGTGTATTTATAATGTATATGTATAATATGTTCTCTGATTAAAGGAATAGTTCACCGTTTTTACATACTGACATATGTTCTTACCTTACCTTAGACTAGTTAATACGTACCTGTGTGATCTTAGTCCGTGCGCTCTGTTATGCAAACGGAGCAAAAACGGGAGCACAAATGCAGCCTCCTCTGTATATTTTGTAGCACCAAAAGGTAGCTCCCGCTAGAAGCTACCAAACTCTTCCAAGTGTTCCCTATTAAATGTATATAGTTACGTGACGTGTTACACTGCAAAGTATAGTAACACAGAAATGTAACAGTCGATTTTCTCAGCGGATAAAACGGGTACTATATTGTGAGGCGTAGTAATCTGAGGTGCGCTACGTCCGCGCACTAACTTCTCTCCGGAGACTTCTCTCTCGCTCACTTCCGTCAATAGAAGCAGCGTGACTTGTAGTACACACAGTAGCAGCGAGAGAGAAGTCTCCGGAGAGAAGTTAGTGCGCAGAGAAGTTAGGAGCGCTACGTCCGCGCACTAACTTCTCTCCAGAGACTTCTCTCTCGCTGCTACTGTGTGTACTACAAGTCACGCTGCTTCTATTGACGGAAGTGAGCGAGAGAGAAGTCTCCGGAGAGAAGTTAGTGCGCGGACGTAGCGCTACTCAGATTACTACGCCTCACAATATAGTACCCGTTTTATCCGCTGAGAAAATCGACTGTTACATTTCTGTGTTACTATACTTTGCAGTGTAACACGTCACGTAACTATATACATTTAATAGGGAACACTTGGAAGAGTTTGGTAGCTTCTAGCGGGAGCTACCTTTTGGTGCTACACAGTGACCAGAGGAGGCTGCATTTGTCCTCCCGTTTTTGCTCCGTTTGCATAACAGAGCGCACGGACTAAGATCACACAGGTACGTATTAACTAGTCTAAGGTAAGAACATATGTCAGTATGTAAAAACGGTGAACTATTCCTTTAACATTTCAAAGTGTTATGGAAACGTAGGTGTAGACCAATCAGAAAGGAAGGGGGAGGAGCTTGCGTCGTTTTTTTCAAATCAAGTACCTCTCTGTCTCTCTTTCTGACAAACTCCAGACAATCACTTTAAGTACAGGTATATCACTGCGTCAGCATTTTCAATATTATAACATAAATATAACTATGTTTGAGAGTCTCCTTTTCTCACTGTTCTTGAATTGCAACAATGACATTTCCTCACTGTAATGATATAGCACAATCTTTCATATTAAAGCACTGATATTTCTCCTTTTATGGCCACAGCAGCTGCTTCTTGACATCTCATTTAAATGTTTTCCTCTTGTTAATTTAGTCTCAGAGACTTTCTCAGTTCCTCTTCATGGAGTCCAGCCGCAGGTTTGTCTTTGAGCTACTTTGTAACATAGAACATTCTAACACAATGGAAGCTTGTATATTATTATTATTATTATTATATATTACTACAGATTAACTATTTTATCTATTAAATCAGAAGAGATTTCATTGATCATTGTGTTTATTCATATGAACTGCACGGCAAACTATAACATGAAAGTTAGATGTCAGATAATACATGTTTAATGAAGCTAAAAACTTGCGGTGAGCCACTGGCTGTTCTTAATCTTCCAGAGCAGACACTCTCATGTCTCTACAGAGAACCAAAAAACAATTTATTATATGAGATAATTACACAACAATTTTATAAGTGACCTTTTAAATATACATTATATTTGTATTAGTATTTAGTAAAATTACCCATACTTCAAGTACAACTGACTGACATAGATATGACATAGATATCTCAGAGATTGCATGAAAGTGGAAAGGGCATTTAATGCCATCAATCAACTAAACAAGAGGACACAAATTAAAGCCAAATATCAAATATTAGTAAGAAATCCACAATGTCAGAGACAGCTGTGACATCACAGACAGGATAGAAAGAAATGTATAGGATCCTAATGCTAGTTTTATATCTTTACATGTGGACATTGTCATCAGTTTTTCTTTTGAATTATTTTTTAAACTTTGTGTAGTTGGCTTTGAATGTGTTTAAACTTCTCTTTTGAAGATTTTCACCTTTTGTCTGTGACAGGAACCTGAGTCAGAATGAAATCTCTCTTCTCACTTCTGCTTGTCCTGCTTCTGCCGGCTCCATCTATGTTTTACTTTTTAAAGCACTGTACGGCTGACTCCTACAATCAGGGAATCATAGACTGTACACGAAATGATTTATCCAATATTCCCTCTGACATCCCCAAAGATGCCACTGAGATCTATCTGGATTTTAACCACATTGAGACCATCAGACAGGCAGACCTGAGAGGCTACACAGACCTGCAGTCGTTGAGCTTTTATAGTAACGATATATCACTCATAGAGGACGGGGCGTTTTTACATCTATCTTCGTTATCTGAACTGGATCTGTCATTGAATAAACTCGTAAACCTGACTGACAACCTGTTTACGGGGTTGTCCAACTTGGAGACACTTCATTTGAGTTTAAACTACTTCAAACTCATCTCAAAGTTTGCATTTGGGCCTTTGAAATCACTGCAGTACTTGGCCATGGAAAGCTCTTTACCATCAGATATTGTAAATGTCATTTCACACACTCCAAATATAAGACATCTTTATTTTAGGAAACGTTCACTCGAGGCAGACCGTTGGCCATTTCCACTGCAGAAACTAACCACACTGACATTGGACTCGATGGAACTCGAGAGGTTTAGTGTCCACACCGATGTTTTACCTAATCTAAAGAATCTTGTTTTATCCGGTAGTATAAAGACTGAGTTTGAATGGGATGTGCCCAAAAACCTTTTCAAACGTTTGAAGCTTTTAGATCTGCGTGTTTCTAGAATGACCACAGAAAACTTTCTGAGCATTTTACAAAGTGTCGACTCAGTGGAGAGTCTCATGTTCAGAACATTTGTATATCCGTTTAACCAAAGTGTGTTGGACGCAGCCTGCAGTATTCCAGCTTTAAAATCATTAAAAATAAGTTTCGAAAACATCACTTTTATAAACAGCGTGTTTTTGCGCTCCTGTTCTCGTCTTACAAAACTAGTGTTTTTTCCCAACCTTCTGCAGGAGTTTGCCGAATCGTCTCTGCGAACGCTGACACGACTCAAGCAGCTCAACGTGGAGAGCAACATGTTGTCCAGGATTCCTGCAGCCGTTAGAAACATGTCCTCTCTCATGTACTTGTCCTTTCAACGCAACCGCATCAGAAAACTTCAATGTTCAGATTTTTCTAATCTGCCTCTGTTAAGATTACTTAATCTAAACTTCAATAGGATTCGCAAACTCAAAACATGTGTACTGAAAGACCTTAAGAATTTAAATTTTTTGTTCATTGAAAATAATAACCTCTCTACATTGGATGATGCTCTTGGTTCAAGTTTTCCCAAATTGGTTGTTTTCAGCGCTAAAGAAAACTACCTCAACCCAATTCACAAATCAACTTTCAACAAAGCATTAACTCTCAGAAATTTAAACATTAAATCAAAATCAGCAACTGAGGTTGAAAATGGGGCTTTTGAGGGAATCTTAAATCTAAATCAACTGACTTTTTCTCAAAATTATCAAAGTGGGGGCGTTTTTTCAGGTTTGGATCATCTCGAAAGTCTTGTTGTGTTTGTCACAAGTAACAAAGAAACTGTGGTCTCAAAACCACTGACTTTTAACATTTCTTCACTTCGAAAGATGACCATCGCAGTTGACAAAAACGTTTGCGTGGATCAGGCGTTCTATCATCTTCACAATATGACACATTTACAAAAGTTTTCACTGGACACCGTTTGCTGCGTCACCCCGTCTGACACGTTCTCGGAAGCTCCTCACTTAAAAAACCTTAAAATCACCAACTGTGCAGGGTTCCGCCCGGAGTCTGAGCTTTTTCAACCAATTCCACAGCTACAATTTCTCGACTTGTCTCACAATAGAATTAACAACTTAACTTTTCTCTCCAAAGCTAATCTAACAAAACTAGAAAAGCTGATTTTAAGTAACAATGCCTTGAGAATTATTGACGAGACGGTTTTCAAAGCATTGCCTTCACTGAAATACCTCAACTTAGAAGGAAATCCATTTGCATGTGACTGTGCAAATGCAGGGTTCATTATGTGGGCAAACCAAAACGAACAGGTTCAAGTGGCCAAGTTTTCTCAGTACAAATGCTCTACACCTTCGTCTCTTGATGGACACCTTCTCCTCAACTTTAAGATTCAGATTTGTTGGAAGGACATTGGTTTCCTCTATTTCTTGTCCAGCTCGGCTCTGGTTGTGTGCACACTCTTGTCCTCCTCCCTCTATCACTTTATGCGGTGGCAGCTGGTCTATGGCTTCTATCTGCTGCGGGCTTTTCTCTACAACGTTAAAAAGAGAAAACAGGGATGTGCTCATGTCTACGACGCATTTGTGTCCTACAACGTTCACGATGAAGACTGGGTTTACGGAGAGTTGGTGCCTGAACTGGAGCAGCGGCAGAGATGGAAGCTGTGTCTGCACCACCGCGACTTTGAACCGGGTAACTCAAAGCACTGTCTTTTTAACCAGATGACATTGACTTATGGGGTCCCTCAGGGCTCGATACTAGGGCCTTTTCAGTTCAATTCTCTCCCCAAACTGTCGACGATAACTTGAAGCCAGTCCGGGCTATCTCTACCACACTCCGTAGGCCAGAATTGGAACCAAATTCTCTCATAAAAAGTTTTCAATTGAAATGATTTAGGAGAGGTCATGCTTTTTTATAATATCAGTGTGTCGCAGCCTTGGAGCAGGCGACAGGTGTTTTGTTTAACTCGTTTTTTGTTTTTTTTTTGGCAAAAATGACCAGCTGACTATTTACATGCAAATCGGTTTTGGGCTGCCACTTCAAGAACTAGGCCTAAGTAAATTTGGTTACGAGCCAATCAGGAGTGAGTCTGTCCCTGCTTCCCATATTCATTGGACATCACCATGTCTGTAAAACACTCAGACCACGTTCCAATTTATGTTTTTTTTGTGAATAAGAAGAAAAAACTTGGACAAGAGCCAAAACACTGAACATTCTGAGTCCTATACTGAGTTTGTGTTTATTTTTTCTTAAGGGAAACCCATTATTGAGAACATCACAGACGCCATCCACAGCAGCAGGAAGACTTTGTGCGTGATCAGCCGCCACTACCTGCAGAGCGAGTGGTGCTCACAGGAGATCCAAATGGCCAGGTACTTCACTCACATACATTCGTGGACCTCTTAGCTGGGTAAGAACAGACCAGTGTACTGTAGATGTTTACAAGCCACAAGCTGTCTGAAGCCATCCATTGTAGAAGATGGCGGTGATTGTCTCCTGTTACTGTCTTAAAATGTTACAGTTGATTTTAACTTCCTGGATACTCAGTGTTCCCAGTCATCCCAAAACACAGACAGAAACAGAAATCTTCCAGTTAAGAAATCCTGACCAAGTTTGCTACGGTCAAGATCCAGATTCGGTCGTCTCATTAGGAGAATACAAAAGTTGAATGACTATAGAGAAATTGTCTCTTTTAACCGTTTTAACCACACCTATGTCTTTTCCACACAGCTTCCGTCTGTTTGATGAGAAGAAAGACGTTCTGATACTGTTATTTCTGGAGGAGCTTTCATCCAATCAGCTGGCTCCATTCTACCGCATCAGGAAGTTAGTGAGAAGCCGCACCTATCTAAGCTGGGACCAGGCCCGAGGAGACAAAGCCCTGTTCTGGGAGAAAGTCCAAAGAGCTCTGGAGATAGGGGACAACCTTGAATAGAACCTCTAACCCACACAGGCCTCTGTCATTGTGATGTTAAAGCTTGGGTACTTGAGTTTCAGTTTGTTGACTCCATCTATACAGTAACAATTTTCCCTAATCCCTTTGGCACATCTAGCATTATCATGCAAAGATCAGCTTTCTCACACACTCAGCCCAAAGAGGCATATAGAGACTCACTTCCTTTTAAAGTAGTGTTTATAACAAATCTTTATACTGTCAGTGCATCACACACATTTTTGCGATAAAATAATGCGTTTACTCTATACGCAAAACAGGAGTAGGGCTGGAGTACTCAATTTTGAAATCACAAATTATAAATATGTAACAAAATCTGTGTAAATAGTTCCCAGCTTCCTTGTTTGGATCTATCACTAATTTTCACATGTATAGAAGACAGTACCAGGTGTCATCAGCCAATCAGCTCTCAGCATGTAAAATAGAACATGCTTTATAACAGGCAGAAGACCATGCTGTGGTTTGTTCTCAAAATAAAAAGTCAATTAACGTTGTGTACTCTTTGTAAAAATCTGGTATGTGAGTAAATAATTGGTATATTTTTCCTGCCATGTTTAAAATACTATGTTATGATTCCATGTTTATTTGTGTTTGCTTTGTGTATTGTTTTATTGTTGGTTTTTTGTATCTTGTTTAATAGTTTCCTTTTGCATTTAAAATAGAATTCTGAATATTAATATTGATAATATTACTTCTACTTGCATATTTTCTGACCTTTTTCTCACTCTACTAAATGTACTTTCTTTTGAATATACATTACAAGTACATACATTGTGCAAGGTTCTGTAATAAAATCTGCATTATGACCGTTTGTTACGCTGCTTTCACAGACCGATACACTATCTGCTCTGTATGTATTTTTTTATCCTATTAAAAACATTATATATTTTGCATGATGTGTCAGAAAGAGCCTTGTGAGTCACTACATGATGCTTTGGGGCTGAGAGCTTTTTCACATTTGTCTGAAAAATCTGATAAAAAGATGTGACAGAGGCTTAAAAATGCATGTGAAATCTAGTAATGGTCTCTCTGTAGTCTCTCTGTAGTCTCTCTGGTTTCTCTCTCTGGTCTCTCTCTCTGGTCTCTAGTCTCTCGCTCAGGTCTCGCTCAGGTCTCTCTCAAGTCTCTGGTCTCTCCACTCTCTCTCTGGTCTCTCTCTGGTTTCTCTCACAGGCATCTTAGAACTTGTATGACTCCCCCTCCCCCTCTGATCAAACTCAATGCCCTTTTTTGTCTCAAACACGCTGTAAAAACAACTTTAATTGTGTAAATGACAAAGGAAAGTCATACATCAGCTCAAAAGTCTATATCTCATGTCGCAACCTCTAATTTGTTCTTATAGCAACAACATAAGACATAAGAGAATGGAATGTGGCCGATGCTTTACTCTGCTCCGTAGGGCTGAGATCCAAACCCGAGGTTGAGATCCAGGTAAAAGTTCCGGACAAAGGTATTACTGTTCCTGACCAGAGCCGGTGCCTCACATAAAGATGGAAGATAAGAAGTGAATGGAGCAATGCTGTGTTCGTGCGCAGAAGCAGACGGGACGAATACTTGGCTCAAACCCATCTCTGCAACAGAAATATTTGAACTTTAGCCTAAAACGGTCCAATAGAAGAGTGGACAAAAGGGCGTATCATTGACCAGGAGTCCAGCTTTCTGCAACCTGCTTTTATGGTTAGATGAGATAAGATAAGATAAGATACACCTTTATTAGTCTCACAGTGGAGACATTTCAGTGTCATCGTTGCACATTACAGCAGAGAGAGGAAATAAGAGCACTCAGATTGCACACATCAAAGTCTATTATTTAAGGTAATAGACAGTAAAATTATAAGATAAAAAATAAAATAAAATGAGATAAACTCTGGGCTATAATTGCACTTGGTTCTATATTATACATCAGCAGCGGAGAATATGAGAATATGAATATGAGCAGAATAAACATCAGAAATAATATCAACAAGTAAAGTGACTTGAATGGGAGAATTATCAGATGGATATGAATAATACAGTAAGATATCAACAGGTAAAGTGACGGTGGAAGGCAGAATTATCAGATATGTAATAATACAGCAGTACTGATAACAGGTAAAGTGACTAGTGACAAAGTTACTAGTGAATTATCAGTGACACTTGTGCAGACTCAGCAGTTCCTGTTACACATTCTCGTTGTACAGTCTGACAGCAGCAGGAAGGAAAGACCTGCAGAACCTCTCCTTCACACATCGAGGGTGAATTAGTCTGTCACTGAAGCTGCTCTCCAGAGCAGAGAGAGTGTCCTGCAGGGGGCGACAGTCATGGTCCAGCATAGATGTTAGTTTGCTCAGGACCCTCCTGTCCCCCACCTGCTGCACTGTGTCCAGGGAACAGCCCAGGACTGAGCTGGACTTCCTGATGACCTTGTCCAGCTTCTTCCTGTCCCTCTCTGTGATGCTGCTGTTCCAGCAGACCACACCGTTCAAGAGGCTGATGCCACCACAGAGTCATAGAAGGTCTTCAGGAGTGGCCCCTGCACTCCAAAAGACCTGAGCCTCCTCAGCAGGTAGAGGCAACTCTGGCCCTTCTTGAAGAGGGCGTCTGTGTTATGAGTCCAGTCCAGTTTGTGGTTCAGATGAACACCCAGGTACTTGTAAGAGTCCACTCTCTCGATGTCCTTTCCCTGGATGTTCACTGGGGCTGGAGCGGCAGAGTGACGTCTACGGAAATCCACCACCATCTCCTTGGTCTTCCCCGCGTTGATGAGGAGGTGGTTCATCTCCTTGGTCTTCCTCACGTTGATGAGGAGGTGGTTCATCTCCTTGGTCTTCATCACGTTGATGAGGAGGTGGTTCATCTCCTTGGTCTTCCTCACGTTGATGAGGAGGTGGTTCATCTCCTTGGTCTTCCTCACGTTGATGAGGAGGTGGTTCATCTCCTTGGTCTTCCTCACGTTGATGAGGAGGTGGTTCATCTCCTTGGTCTTCCTCACGTTGATGAGGAGGTGGTTCATCTCCTTGGTCTTCCTCACGTTGATGAGGAGGTGGTTCATCTCCTTGGTCTTCCCCGCGTTGATGAGGAGGTGGTTCATCTCCTTGGTCTTCCTCACGTTGATGAGGAGGTGGTTCATCTCCTTGGTCTTCCTCACGTTGATGAGGAGGTGGTTCATCTCCTTGGTCTTCCTCACGTTGATGAGGAGGTGGTTCATCTCCTTGGTCTTCCCCGCGTTGATGAGGAGGTGGTTCATCTCCTTGGTCTTCCTCACGTTGATGAGGAGGTGGTTCATCTCCTTGGTCTTCCTCACGTTGATGAGGAGGTGGTTCCGCTGACACCAGTCCACAAAGTCCTGTATAACTCCTCTGTCCTCTGTGTCATCGTCCTCGGAGCTGAGTCCGATGATGGCAGAGTCGTCAGAGAACTTCTGTAGAACACAACCGTCCGTGTTGTGTCTGAAGTTCGCAGTGTAGAGGGTGAAGAGGAACGGTGCGAGGACTGTCCCCTGGGGGGGCCCCACACTGCAGGTCAGGACCTCAGACACAAAGTCCCTGGTTCTCACAAACTGGGGTCTGTTTGTGAGGTAGTCCAGGATCCACTCAGACAGGTCGTAGTCCACTCCAGCTGTCTCCAGCTTGTCCCTGAGAAGCTTCGGCTGGATGGTGTTGAAGGCGCTGGAGAAGTGGAAGAACATAATCCTCACAGCGGTGCCGGGTTTCTCAAGGTGGGACAGCGAGCGATGGAGGAGGGAGATGATGGCGTCCTCGACTCCGATGCCCGGCCTGTAGGCAAACTGCAGCGGGTCCATCGCTGGGCTCAGAGTGGAGCGGAGATGTCCCAGGACCAGTCTCTCCAGTGTCTTCATGCAGTGGGATGTTAGAGCCACCGGCCTGAAGTTGCTGAGGTCTTTGGCCCGTGGTTTCTTGGGCACTGGTACCACACAGGAGGTCTTCCAGATCTGTGGTACCGACCTCAGGCGGAGGCTCATGTTGAAGACATGCCCCATAACCCCGCACAGTTCGTCTGCACAGGAGCTGAGGAGCCTGTCGTGAATGACTGGGCTATTGTCCACTGCTGAGGCGGCTAGGACTAGAGTTTCGTTCGGCCTGAAGAATGAAGCCTGACCCGGCCAGAGCCCGCTAATGTTAAGCCCGAGCCCGTATAAGCCCGACCAATGAACGCTGTATAACAGGCCCGAGCCCGACAGAACCCGACACATCTGATTTCCCGTTGTACGCACTCACCTTCCAATTGCAAGTTTAGTCTCCACTTTTGAATTTGTTTTGTCTCCACTTGATCCATTTCTACTATTGTTCCTGTTCGCTGTTGACCACAGCAGCAGGAGACACGGGGATGATGCGTTCACGGCTCGCTGCTGCTGTAGGACACGCTGGTTACGGTGTCATTAATATATTCACTTTTTTTAATAACTTGTTGTCAATCAACGGACATTGTTATTAATATACATAAAATTGTCCACTCACCTTTGACCCTCCGCGGGCGGTTATCCCTCTCTAAGCTTGGGTCCTCTACCAGAGGCCTGGGAGCTTGAGGGTTCTGCGCAGTATCTTTGCTGTTCCTAGCACTGCACATTTCTGGACCCAGATGTCCGAGGTTGTTCCAGGGATCCGTTGTAACCTCTTCTAGCTTCGGGGTCACTGCCCCGAGTGCACCGATCACCACGGGCACTACTGTCACCTTTACCCTCCAGGCCCTCTCCAGCTCCTCTCTGAGACCTTGGTATTTCTCAAGCTTTTCATGTTTTTTTTTCCGGATGTTACCATCGCTTGGAATTGCCACGTCCACCACCACGGCTGTCCTCTGCCCTTTGTCCACCACCACGGCTGTCCTCTGCCCTTTGTCCACCACCACGGCTGTCCTCTGCCCTTTGTCCACCACCACGGCTGTCCTCTGTCCTTTGTCCACCAACACGGCTGTCCTCTGCCCTTTGTCTACCACCACGGCTGTCCTCTGCCCTTTGTCCACCACCACGGCTGTCCTCTGCCCTTTGTCCACCACCACGGCTGTCCTCTGCCCTTTGTCCACCACCACGGCTGTCCTCTGCCCTTTGTCCACCACCACGGCTGTCCTCTGCCCTTTGTCCACCACCACGGCTGTCCTCTGCCCTTTGTCCACCACCACGGCTGTCCTCTGCCCTTTGTCCACCACCACGGCTGTCCTCTGCCCTTTGTCCACCACCACGGCTGTCCTCTGCCCTTTGTCCACCACCACGATGTCAGGTTGGTTCATTACCATTCGGTCGGTCTGTATCTGGAAGTCCCACAGGATCTTTGCTCACTCTCCACCACCTTTGGAGGAGTTTCCCACTTAGACCTTGGGGTTTCCAGCCCATACTCTGCACAGATGTTTCTGTACACTATGCAGCCACTTGGTTATGGCGTTCCATGTAGGCCTTCCCTGCCAGCATCTTGCACCCTGCAGTTATGTGTTGGATCGTCTCAGGTGCCTCTTTGCACAACCGACACCTTGGGTCTTGCCTGGTGTGGTATATCTGGGCCTCTATCGCTCTGGTGCTCAGTGCCTGTTCCTGTGCAGCCATGATGAGTGCCTCTGTGCTGTCCTGTAGGCCAGCCCTTTCTAGCCATTGGTAGGACTTCTTGAGATCAGCCACTTCTGTTATGCTCCGGTGGTACATGCCGTGTAGGGGCTTGTTCTCCCATGATGGGCTCTTCTCCAGCACCTCCTCATCTCGCCACTGCCTGAGACATTCACTGAGTACGTCATCCGTTTTGGCCTTCTCCATGATGTAGTTATGGAGTTTGGATGTTTGGTCCTGGACAGTGGCTCTCACACTCACTAGTCCTCGAGATGGCCTTCAGGCTCCTCCAAACCCCTGCCACATTCTGTCCATTTCTGCATTTTCTAGTTTGAACATATGAATATTTAGCCTATCTAGCATTGTTCCCTTCATCAGAAACAGACCTGGGGTGTTTTTTAGATCTTTCCAGGCTGATGTTAGGAGCTTCCGGCACAAACATGTAGCTCCGCCCCTTCTATGGCGATCACATGGTGTTTAGACTTTCTTCTATACATGATTAATGCAGTTATTCATAAATTATCCCTCACATTAATATTAACAGAACTTTTTTTTTTTTAAATGTTCTTCAAAGTTTCATTATCTTTCCATCAGTAATTGATGATGATGATGACAGTATTTATTAAACTAAACCTGTTAATTAATAGAAATGAATAGATTCCATCGTATAGAATGTAGAATTAAGACTGAGAAAAGGCAATTTCTGACTTGTTTGAGCTTTCCTTGTCTTCTATACCTGACACGTATTTTAAATCTGATGCAAAATATAAAAAAATGGAGACTTATTATGTAAATCTGGGGCCGTATTCCTAAAGATTCTTACTGCTAAAAGTTGCTCCTAGTGGCCAAATTCTAAGAATTTTCTTAGAATCTTGACCAACTCTTAGAATTTCCCCTAAAAGTGAGGAGTAGCTCCTAGTTAAGATAAAAGCTATTCCTAAAAAATCCTAGCTCTTAAGAGTGCTCTTAAGGGGAGATCCCTTAAGAGTTGAGAGGAGGACTTTTAGCGACTTAAAAGTTCCCTAAGAGCACAAAATGGTGGACGGTGGAGACAGGAGAAATATTCTATACACTGGATGACAGTGAATCAGTGAAACGCTACAGATTCAAGCAGGAATCATGTTTGTGGTATATTTAAAAGTCAATCATGTGACCAGCTTCTCATTGGCTGGTCAGCAATAACACCTCATCCATTTTACTTTTGTTACACAAAAGTAAGTAGAAATGGTAAAAGTTGAAAGAGAGGAAAAAGTGGTCCTAAATTGTCACACATTCAGTACGAATGAATGAATACTTTATTTTGAGCCATGGCAAACAAGAAAAAAAAGAACAAAACAAACAAAACAACAACAGAATAGAAGTACAAATATACAGTTTTGTTTTATTAACAACAATCCAGCTCAAAAAGGAGTGGGAGAGGATAAGACTTTTAAACTCCCTTGTACTTGATTTGTGCAGTGTATGTATAATATGTTTATATTAATATTGTTTCCTTAATTCCTTATAAGTCTATACATATCACAGCCTTTACTAATCCTAACGTTATCATTATCATCATTTATCCATATAATATTTATAATAATAATTTTCTTTATCATGTATATTATATATAGAGTAATATTTAAATTATATGTATATATATAAAATTATAAGTGCTCATGATATATACGTATTATGTGTGATAAATTGGTGCTGAGCAAGCTCTGATGATGGTGTATAAGTCTAACTTTACTATTCACAGTATTTATGTACCATTGATATATCTGACTTTATAGCTTTTGGTTATTATTTACAATAACACAGTGTTCCTAAGATTAGATTCCATGATTGAGTTTGTCCATTTTAGGGCCCTTATTTTGCCTATTATCATCAAAAATATGTTTTTTCTAACTTTTAGGATCAACCAATCACAGCGTCTGAAATGATGACTCATACCTAGCAACGGGGTCGGCCACGCCTCCTTACTAAGATAAAAGTTGTTGTCAATTCCTTGCTCAGAGTTCTCTAAGAGTGTTCTGGAATAACTTTTAAGCTAAGACTCCTAGCTAGGAGTTTTAGTTTAAGATAAGAGCTCTCTGAGAGGACTCTCAGAATCTTTAGGAATACGGCCCCAGCTCTTTTATCTTTGAATCTTCCAACATTGTCATTGCCCCACTATCATCCTCAGAGCAGTGTTTCTGACTTTTAAAACAAATGTATTGCCAATAAATGTGAAATGACGTCCTTTAGTATCTACATGTGTTTGCAGCCAATAAATTCAAAATTTGTAAAAAAAACCAAAAAAAAAAAAAAAAAATTTGACTCCCTCTATTGGTAACATAGGGTATTACAGACTGTCGGTGTTGCTTGGGTCGCTTGTGCTGTGTTGTAAAATTCCTCTGCCCCCTACTGGCCGGGCACAAGAACTACATCATTTTTTTGTTGCCGTCTAAACACTGTGCAGGAGCCTGGTCATTTTTGCTAATTGCTTTGCAGCGTCTCCGCAGCGTCTTCGTGTAAACGAGGCATAAAGGTGAGCAGATTGGTCTGAGTCAGCGGCTTGTTTGAACAGCAGTGTTGTTCAGAGTTGTTCAGTGTTGTTCAGTGTTGTTCAGTGTTGTTCAGTGTTGTTCAGTGTTGTTCAGTGTTGTTCAGTGAGGACGTTCTGTGGTCTCCAGCTCCTTCTAAACTGTGTGTTGTTCTGGTCTTTACCACAAGCTGTTGAACCAGCTGGAAATGAGGAATTACTGCTGGAATGTCCAAACAGCGGCAGCCTTTCCAATCACTAAGCCTTAGGAAAAAAGAGTTTTAGGCTCTCTGTGTATGATGTGATTTTTATTTTCTTTGACTTCATATAAGACATATTAGACTACATTATTCCCTCTAAAATATACATGGGGTCTAAAGGCACTATTTTAAAACTCTTCAAAAATCCTCAGACCATGACTGTTATTTTGTTTTGTTCAGCACTTTGAATTGCCTTGTGTATGAAATGTGCTATGCAAATAAACTTGCATTTCCTTGCCATGTTCGATGAAAAAAGTTAAATATGGAGAGACTACAAGAGACAAGATGTGTTTTAATGCGTTTTGAGAGATTTTATGGATTGAGTCTGTTTATTGGTTTGATAAGATAAGATAGACTTTATTGATCTCTGATGGAGAAATGTACATGTCACATCATGGAATCACTCAGATTGTGCAAAAGAAAGAAATGTGCAAACGTGTTAAATGCAGGATATATTATGTACATAAGAAAGTGGCAATCAAAGAAACAGTGGCACTTAGGCCCCGGCTGTGGCCGTGCTCTGAGGAGATCTGGGTCTGGGTGCAGATCGTGATCCCCGAGGCCTAGACACTGGTGGTGGCAACAAGGCAAGGTGAATGTGAGAGTGAAGAAATCCTGAGGCGGAGGTGGGGAGGAGGTTGAGGCTTGAAAGGCTGTTTGATGAGCTGTGCTCTGCTTTTCAACGCTGGCAGGGAGTGGAAGAGCTGATTATGACCAGTCTGGTGGGATAACGTAGGTCGTCTTCTATCCTGAACCTCCGCTTAGGCTTCATTTGTTTCTCACGTTTACCACCAGATGGGAGTGTTTCTCATCCTGACCATTGCTACTTGTTTATCCAGAGCTGAGTACCTAACTTTAAAACCACAGAAATTGAAGAATGTAATAAAATACATCTAAATATTTGCTTTCTGAAAAGTTTGGTTCTATCACTACTTTTCACATGCAAGTGTTTTAGGCCACATCTTTAGACCAGTCTCACTCAACCAATCAGCTCTCAGCCCATGGAGTTAAATAGTCACTCACAAGGCTCTTTCTTACAACTATGCATAAGATACAATGTTTTCCTATGTCATAAAGACAGTATGAAGTGGTCTGAACATTTATATTATACAAGACATTTTCCATAGGGACAAACAACGTCAATTATTTCTGATTTTGAAAAGTTACCCCAGCTTTAATACTATATTTTGACTTTCTAAGACACAAAATACATAAAGTAGAAGATTGTCTCAAGATCTTGTTCAAGCCGACGCAAAGTGGTCTGAGGGCCACTTTTAACAAGCCATGGTCCCCTTAGCTTGATTTATAGCCGCCACTGCAGCACAGGCAAACTAAACCAAACTTGTTCTGGGCAGATTTAAACTCTACAAGTGCAGCTTTCCAGACAGAGGACTGAAGCATGTTTGAACTGTTATTGTAGAAGAAAAGAAAGGATGCCGTGAACTTGATGAATGAGAAAGAGGGAGCGGGATAATGGAGCCACAGTGATCCATCAGCGCGTTTAAAGAAATGTACTTTCCACTTAAATGGACCAACAAGGGTGACCTATGACTTTGACAGAGCTGAGTGGCTGGTTTAACATGCCTCTGCTGTGGGAGAGAAACACAGCACTAAAGTCTGAGCACAGGATCAGTTGTGTGTCTGAGATTAGCATTAGCGGTTGTTAAGTGTTTGGGAACATGTGTGTGTATGTCCCTGGGTGTTTCTTGCAACAGCAGAGGTTAGATTGTGGATTTTGCCAAAAGTAAGTAATCAATTTGTATATCAGCTTTCACAGACAGACTCACAAAGCGCTTTACAAGTAGTGGCGCCACCTGCAGGGGAAAGCTGGATTCTGTCAGACCTCTGAGGCTAAGCAGGGATGCCTGGTCGTACTGTGATGGGAGACCTCTGGGAACAACAGGTGCAACAGTGGGGCAGCTGCAGCTGTAAA